CCCAGGGTGGGGCAAATGAGGGTGGGGGCAAGTGTGGGTGTTTCACCTACCCCACCCACAATTTTTTGATGTTGTCGGGGCCGGGGCGTGAACCGGCGATCTTCGGATCACAAGCCCACCTCTCTAACCTCTGCGCCACCACCCCCCCCCGAATATATATTGATAATATATATAATATATATATATATATATATATATATATATGTACAATATAAATATATATAATATATATAATATATATGTACAATATAAATATATATAATATATATAATATATATGTACAATATAAATAAGTACAATGTATATAATATATAATATATATGTACAATATATATAATATATATAATATATGTACCATATAAATTTGTACTATATATAATATATATGTACAATATAAATATGTACAATGTATATAATATATATGTACAATATAAATATGTACAATATATATAATATAATATATATGTACAATATAAATATGTACAATGTATATAATATATATGTACAATATAAATATGTACAATATATATAATATAATATATATGTACAATATAAATATGTACAATGTATATAATATATATGTACAATATAAATATGTACAGATTGTAAATACAGTTTGAAAACGAAATCATCTGTCTGTGATAGTTTCTCATTTACTCTGCAGTAGAGTCTTTACGTCTCTTTTGGTTTTATTCTTGAAAACGTTTAAGAATGAAGGTAATTTAATTTACAGGATGTGGTCTTTGTTTCTCGTTGGTTACAGCAACGTGAACCTTGTTCTTCCTTGACTCCGTCACTTTATTCAGTTTGTTCATCATGTGCACCATCCTGACCAACTGCTGCTTCATGGCCATGTATGAGCCGGCGTACTGGGCCAAATACCTGGAGTGAGTACACCTGAGGGCTTCCTGCCTGCGCTTCTGCACAAACACACGACTGAGGATGTTGACGCCGAGGATCTGGACGTGAATCAGGCGCAACGTAAATGTCAGGATCCAAATGTCAGAACCAGACGTTACATTTCACGTCTGGCCACGTCAGGTCGGATTGGACCGGCTGGTCGGCGCCTTCAGGCCCGTCCTGTCTGTAAACACCGACTCTGCTCGCTCCGAGGTCCAACAAGTTCAGCTCTGCTGACCTTTTGACCTCTGACCCCGGGGTATCAGAGGACCACCTTTCAGTCCCAGAGACGGCTGAAGAAAAGAACTCCGCTCGGCTTCATGTGATACCGGGTCAATAAAAAGCTAAAGACGTGTTTGTTGTTGTTGTTTGGAGCAGCGATACCGAGCGCGCTCAGCAGCCGTTACATCGTCATTTCTGAGAAACTGCACTTGTTTCAGTAAAAGTCAGTTTTTGTCACTGAAGCCTGGGTCTGTGTGAGCAGGAGGTGCAAACGCTGCAGAAAATCAGCTTTTAAACGATTTGCTGGGATGTGGGCGGAGCCTGAGACCTCTGGGAGAAACAGGATTATTCTGCGTGAGCTTTCAGAAACTGCTTCAGCGATAAAACAGAACCCCTGTGAGGTGTCAGCGAGCCGGTTCTGTGACATGGAAATGTTCTGGACCTGACGTGACTGGTTCTGTCGGGCTCGGTACGCCTCACTGGGTCTGTTTCTGGGCACAAACTAAATGAAAGGTGTTTGGAGCTGAGTTGTATGAATATTTATTCTGCTGCCTGTCCTGTTGTCTCTAACGGCCGCTGTGCGCCCCTCCCCCTGCAGGTACACCTTCACAGGTATCTACACGTTCGAGTCGCTCATCAAGATCCTGGCGAGAGGCTTCTGTGTGGGGCCCTTCACCTTCCTGAGGGACCCCTGGAACTGGCTGGACTTCAGCGTCATCGTCATGGCGTGAGTAGGAGCTGGAAGCTGAAGGTCGTTTCAGGGTCGTGGTTCCGACCCAGGCCCGAGCGCCGCAGAGGGAGCGTGGACTCGGGCAGAATGAGTTTGGTACTGAGAGCAGCAGAACTCGGGCTGGTTCTGATGGGATTAACGTCAGAGTTAAAACCAAAAGCTGCTTCTGCAGCTCACAAGTTTGTCACTTCAGACTCGTTGGTCAGTTTGCAAAGCTTTTACAAAGTTAAGGAGACACACACACACACACACACACACACACACACACACACTCGTAACTGCAGAAGCTGACGTTTGGTCGTGAATCCGACCCAGCACTCGGATCAGAACCAACCGAAACAGACCGGACGTTGAGCCGCAGCTACAAACTCGTTACTTGGAGGACGATAAACGTTTCGTCGTCTGTAACTCGTTAAACGACCTCAGCTCGGTGCCATCAGTTAGGAAGACAACCGATCAGAACCATCGGGTCAGTACCTGACCCGAGGCCCGGCTCAGAGGTCACCCTGAGGTGTAATGAGGCGCCGTCACCTGCCTCAGATTCGAGCGGCGCTGGCTCGTCCTCCACGACCTCCAGACACTGAGCGTCTCCGCCTCAGGCAGGAGCGACGCAGGCGGAGGAGAACCTCTGGTGGTCCACAGCAACATCTGGACTGACTCCAGAGGAGGACAGGAGTCAACTCATCCTCTTTGAACAGACTGAACATTTCAAACTGATTGGCACGTCACAGAGTGAAACAAGTGTTTGATTCCCAACAGCCCAGACACAGAAACCTGTCAATCACTCCGTCTACCAACCACCAGTGAAACGTCTCGGCTTCCTGTCCGTCCACAGCGCAGCTTTCCACTGGAGCAGTTTCCTTCATTCCCTCTTGAACCTAAATCCCATTAAGATAAATGAGAAACTTTCTCAGGTAGGAGTCCACGATGAGAGGAGCTTGTTCATGCTCTGAAAGCCGCTGGACCACAGTCTCCAAGGGCACCACTGGTAACGCTTTGCTGGAACGAACCCAAGAGGACCCACGTACAAACCCGTCTTCAGAAGGTCCCTTACTGTCAATACTTATCAGTAGGTTTTGTTTGGGGATCAGACGCTTGTTTCACTGAGTGACCTGTCAATCATTCTGAAGTGTTTCAGTCGATGTTCTGTCTCCACTCACTTGGAACAGTTCTCCAGGTTTTGTTCCACTGCGACACAGAGACGCTCCGTTTGTCCTTGAACTCAGGTCTGTCCTGTCCTCAGATGGATCTAAGGCTGGACGGGGACATATAAGTCACCACTTAGCACACTCGTGTGGCGCTGAACAACACGCCTGTAACATGTTCACGCACACCCCGCCCCTGACTCGACACCTCCACGTGTCCCGGTTTGATTAAAACCAGAGTGATAACCTGGGAAATGCTCACTCCTAATGTCCCACACGTGCATTACAGCTGTGATTGATGCTCTCCTTCCTCCCAACGAGTCGGGGGTTCCCATGGAAACAGGCCCCTCCCCCAGGTCTTCCCCCACGTTAATGACACGTTAAAAGCTGCCACCACCAAACTCATTAAGGTTGAGCTCTTAGATCTTCAGGGAATATCTTTAGCATCAATCCTGTGCCATCTTTAAAATCAGCAGATCTGGTCCTTTTGTCAGTAAAATATCTCCTGTCCCTGGTTTCATCCAGCACAACAGCTCTGTTCTCCCATCGCCACCCTCGCTCTGATTAAATCACTTTATCGGTCAAATGTGCTGAAAGAAAAACCAAAATGGAGATCCATTAGCAGCTCCGGATCAGGTGACTCGGTTCAAGCGGGGCCCAAAAGGCCACCGTCCGTCGCCTGGCGCCTTTCCGGCTCTTTTGGTCCCGTTTGATTGGATCCAAGAAGGATAATCAGAGCCTGGCTCGACGCCCGGCTCCGTTGTCTCGTTTAACCTCGTTATACGAGGTGCCTGTCCCAAAAAGATCATTCCTGCCTTCAGATTTATTCTGTTCTCAGTTTCAAAACGTGTTCAAACATTAAATTAGTTCACGGACCGACGGATGTTTTTATATTTACAGGGAAGAAAGTTCCTAATTGTAACTTTCAGTGACTTCGTAGAGGTTGTTAATAAAGCTGAGTAGGTTTTTCTTTGTTTTAAATTGGATTGTATTTAATATATTTTCATAAATACTAAGGATGCACGATATTGGATTTTTGGCCGATATCCGATGTCGATACTAATATTTTATATACGTTCCTTTGTCAGAACATAACATCTCATTTAGGATTATTTGCTACAAACGTTGTGTAAGAGCTGGTGTCATATATTCAGTAACAGCACAGCACTTTGACTTTTATTAAATGAAAAGTGTTAAATGTTATTTATTAGCATTAGTCACCTGCGATGCTGTCTCACCTGTGGAGGTTTGTTCCAGGTTCCTATAGCTGCAGCGTGGGATCCTCTGCACTCCTGTGCATGAAGGACAGACTTTTTAACTTCAAAGTTTTTATCCATTGTTCCGTGAGACTAATCATGCTAACGGGCTAACACGACGTCCAAACGTCTGAGGTAAAACTCACCCAACAAGTCGTGCTATCAGCTGTTAGCTTCTTAACGACCTCTGAAATGACGTCTTGTAACTCGAGTAACGTTACGTCGGAATAAAATCTCTGACTGGGGACGATGTAACGAGACTCAACGTCGTCCATAAATCTTCTGAATCCAACATCCTCACCAACAAAAAATAAAACTTCCACACCGCCGACATTTTGAGTTTTCCTCTCCGCCGTGAGATCAGGTAGACGCACGTGACGTCATCACGTTGTGCAGCCGCTGCAGGTAAAGACAGAGCCTCTTACATCTGCACGTTATTTTAATGGAATGTCCGATATTGAAATTAACGATGATATCGGCCGGTACCGATACCATGCCGATAATATCGTGCATCCCTAATGAATACCTTTTCAAACTGACTCACACAAAAACAACGCTGCTTCTTTAAGCTAAGCTAACTGTTAGCTAGCTGAATCAGAGGAATCATTTTAGCTCTAAACCTTTAAGACAGCTGTCCCTAAGAAACCTACAACACCTGGAAAAACAAACTAAATAAATTCAAACCTTTAGAGTAAAACTGTAAAAGAAACCCACTCAAGTTTTAAACTCGGCACATAAAATTATTTTGAACTACAACCAGTTTGTAGTTCGTACTCGGCGGATGTTACTGGCTCAGGAGAGGCTGTAGATCGACCTGATTGGTCAAAAGAGGTGTCAATCAAAAACTGGCCTAACTTCCATTTTGACACAGTGGAGACGTGGACGCGGCGAGGATCAACTCCCAAGTCAAAAGGCAGTGAAGGCGTTAAATATGTTTTGTTGTTGACAAACAAAGTTTCCATATTTTTAGCTACTCAAACTACGTTAACAGAATTAGCATGTTGGCTAGCAGTGGCCATCTTTACGTAGCCTAATGGATTCGTGGTTCTGTCCGTTGAATGAAACGTGATATTTTAAACGTATATTTAAACTTGTGGTTCCAGCATTTGCAGTATGATTGTTAACTTAACTTTATGTTTCATTTATAGTTTAAAATGAAGTGTACACACAGACTTTATGCTAATGATGTCTTTAATTCTTTTATCTTTGCTCTGATCTTTTCATCAGTTTAATTCGTACATTTGAAGTTTCACTTCTGGGATGTATGACAGTGACCTAATCCCACAGACAGACCTTGGTGTCGTTTGCATATTTAAAACTGCCTGAATGTTTAATGAGGTTGTCTCTGACCAATCAGGGGTGTACTTCAGCACTGCGCAAAAGTTTTAGACCCAATTCTTATTTCTTTATAGAAAACAATCAAGGATTTATTCAAAAATAACAAAACATTTTATGATGAAACAAATAATCCGAAGCCAATCAGCACTTTTCAGATTATTTTCTTTATTGGATCAGTCAGACCAAACCATGATGGAGCCCCTACCGTGCCCTACAGAAGGCTGTAGACTCACCTCCTCCACATTCAACTCAACGTTCTACCTTCAGAACACTCTGAGAACAACGGGTCCAAACACTGAAAACGTTAGAAAACATTTAGACCCTTGCATGTAAAGAAATGACAGATGGATTTGGACTTTTGCACAGTACTGCAGATAAACTCGGGACTTTGAGACTTTAAAACAAATCTTTGTCTTCTTCTGTTGTGTGTTGACAACCTCCACACTGCCCCCTACAGGCTGTTAACAGAGTTTATCAAAGTAGGGAACCTGCAGGCGCTGCGAACGTTTAGAGTGCTGAGAGCGCTGAAAACGATCTCAGTCATCCCAGGTAAGGCCTCCGCACCACCAGGGGGCGACGGGGAGGGACAAATATATAAAACCATTTGTAAAGTTGTCGTGAACGTCCTCTATTGTTCGTCCCGTGTCTGCCGTGTGCTGCAGCAACAATCCACCTGCTCGAACCTGTCAGAGGTCAAAGGTCACCCGATGTGTCTTAAAGAAACCAAAGGGAAAACCAGACGTCTGAACACCTGAGAGTTACCTGGAGACTTCGAGGCAACACCACCCCTCCAGCTGAGAGGCTTCAGACTGGCCTCGCTGTCTAATCTCATCTGTTCATTTCAAATTTTGTGGCTGGAAAAATAAAAAGCTAATTAGCAAGTTGCTAACTAATGGTTGAATGAAACACAAAGATATGAAAATAAAACATTGTTGACAACTTTAGTTGGCCGAAGTTGAAAGACTGAACGAGGATGAATCAGTTTTTTTTGGATCTCCTGTGGCACGTCGCTGCATTTCTTTGTCTTTGAACACGTCAGAGAACTTTTGTTCTCTAAAGGTCCGTGTTTGTAGTGGAGTTCTGGGTGGACCCAAGTTCTGCTCATTGAAATGTTGACGCCACATCGCCTGAAATACCTAAAGACTTCCTGGTGGGAGGTCAGCATGAAGGTCTGTGGCCGTGGTGCCTTTTTCTCCAGATGTGGCCTCCGAGTGAAGCTTCAGACGTCTGGTTTCACCTTCTCTGTAGCACAGCTTGATGAGTTCCCGTCTCTGCCGGTCCTCTCTCTGGACCTCCATGTCTCTGGTCCTGGTCCCTGTGTTCAGTGTTGGTCACATCCTTCTGTCTGTGTGTCTCTGTGCTTCTGTCTCCCGGCTTATTGCAGATATGTCACTGAGTTTGTGGACCTGGGTAATGTGTCAGCCTTAAGGACGTTCAGAGTGCTGCGAGCGCTCAAAACCATCTCAGTCATCCCAGGTGAGGAAGATCATGGAGGAAATCTGAAACACAACCCTCCTGAGTCTGCTGGAAGCACCGAGTGTTTCAAATCTCTTTCAGCATACTACCTCCTGAGCTGCTTATCACCACGAAGTGAGGCAGTAGTCACTTTATCCCCAGTTATTCCCATTTATTACCAGTTATTCCCATTTATTACCAGTTATTCCCATTTATTACCAGTTATTCCCACTAGTCACACCAGTTATTCCTATTTATCACCACTTATTACCATTAATCACCAATTATTACATTTATAACCAATTATTCCCATTAATCACACAATTTATTCTCATTTACCACCATTTATGTCCATTAATCACAGTTATTGTCATTTATCCCCATTTATTCTTGTTTATTCCAATTTATCAACAGTTATCACCATTTATTCAAGTTAATACCATTTATTATCATCTATCCTTTTTTTAAAATTATTACCATTTATCACCAATAATTACCATTTTTCCATTTATTTATTCTCAGTTATCACATTTTTTGTCATTTCTCTCCACTTGGTACCAATTATTCCCATTTATCCCCATGCATTATGGTGTGTTACTGTTAATCCCTGTTAATCTCAGAGGTAGTATGCAGAACAAACATCTGAGTGGACAACAGAGGCTCAGAAAACTAAAACCAAACTTTGGTCAAAGAGTCGAGCAAAGAGACCAGAGGAAGAAGAAACAAAGAAAAAACACTTCAAACAAAAGATATTTGAACAAAAACCAAAAATAAATATAATTACTAAACAAAACTTGCCAGAGAACACGTTTCTGTTGTTTTGAGATATTACTAAAGTTTATTTAAGTGGCCATATTGGACCTGTTAATATTAATACTTTTATGGTAAATAGTATTAAATCTAGGGTATTCTTTCTTCTACCTCTTTTTCTTCTTATTTCCTTTTTGTTTTGTTTTGTACTTTTTCTGTATTATATCAAATATAGATTCTTGTTTTTTAATTATAATAGTAATAATCATAATTTACAGACTTTAGCAACAGATTAAGGCATAAAACACGTGTTTTTCTTTTTTCTCTGTCTTGGTTGGAATTAACCCACAGGAGACACATCTGTAGTTTATTTAGTTGTTTTTCTGTTTTTATCACTCAAATCAACGTCTTTTCTTCTGTTTATCTTCAAAAACCATCACAGCTGTTTTGATTCTATTTGGTATTTAAATGAAGATTTCGTTTTTTTAGATAAAAAATATTTTTCCCAGTTTGATTTTTCTGCAAGCTTCTTCCTCTGTGACTCAGATTAAATTAATCCAGAAAATCCCAGCCTCTGTTTGCCAACTCGTTAGCATGCAGAGCTAACAGCTAACGGTGAAGCTGTTCTGTTCAGTCTTTAATTTCAGCGTGCAGTCATTCATTAGTTTACAAACGGTTCTGATCCCGTCTGTTTCTAATGAATCAACTGGACCACAGAATGTTCTCAGATGTTCAAACGACTCAGAAGGAACGTGAAGTTTCTGTAATTCGTCCGGCTGGTCTGCACCCTCCGTGTTCTGAGTCCTGCTGTTTTTACCGTGTGTGTCGTCTCCTTATCTGTGTGGTAACTCCAGACTGTGGTTTGTTTTAATGTTGTGATTATTTACTTCACTTAACATCACCTTTCTTATCTTTTCATCTGTTGGTAGTTTCTTGTTTCCCAGTTTGGATAAAGATGGCCGCCTTTTGTTTTCCCGCCATTTTATTTCCGCTTAAATCACATAAAAAAAAAATAAAAACAACGTGCTGCAAACTAAATATAATTAAACTGTATAAACTAAACTGAACAGACCATAAAACACAATCAACAGTCGGATAAAACAAAACAAGCCAAAACTCAAAGAATCTCACTTCCTGTGAAAACGCAGCGTGAACGCTTGTTCACGAATGATTTAGCTGAAAGTTGCTGAAGAAGCTAAAGCTTACTTGAAAGATGCCAATAACTGAAAAGTAGAAAAAAGAAGCTGAAAGGAG